CTTGATTTTCTTGTTTCTCCTTGATACGATCCATGGAAATTTTACTTCGGGTCTTGATTTATTTTATCACTTCAGGTCTTGATTTATTTTATCACCCTGGGTCTTGATTTATTTTTTACTTCGGGTCTTGATTCATTTTATTACATCGGGTCTTGATTTATTTTATTACTTCGGGTCTTGAATTATTTTATTACTTCGGGTCTTGAATTATTTTATTACTTCGGGTCTTGAATTATTTTATTACTTCGGGTCTTGAATTATTTTATACTTCGGGTCTTGAATTATTTTATACTTCGGGTCTTGAATTATTCAATATTTGAGTCTTCGGTTTCTGATCATCAACTAAGTCCACTTTTGGTAAGGCTATCCTCGGAGGCAAAGTTTTCCAAATCACGATGTACTGCCAATTTTAAAGTAGCACCCTTATATTTTTTTTTTGTCACTCTTGGCAGTTATTTTTCAAACGCCGTTCTTTCAAGCTCACAAAAAAAAATTTTGAATGTTACTTCATCAGTCAAACACCGCTGTCACCAAATAATATGTTGGGAGTCAAACAGCGCTGTCACCAAATAATATGCTGGGCAGTCGAACACCGCTGTCACCAAATAATTATGTTGGACACCGCGTTGATGAACAGAAAGGGTTGTTGGCGCCGCTATATGCAAATCGGTGTTGTTGCTCTGGACCTTCCGATTTTCCTGAAAAACTCACTTGCTGAAAATACTTGAGATACTTGATAAATAAAAGACTATTTCAAAAACTTCACTTTATTTCACTTTAAGTACAAGGAACTCGGAGGTATTAGAAGAAAAGTGTTTGCCCGGCGACCGACAGATTAAGACTGATTTATTTCATAATTATTAAAACTAAAATCCTTTGAAACGTAGTGGGGATTTGTCTCGAATATTCTATGCAACGAAAAGGACAATGTAATGGATTTAGCTGATTAAACAAAATGTTATTCATGCGAACTTGGTGAGAATTGTTAACTAGGCGGAATGTCGATAATAAGATCTTCCTGAGATTTGTCGACGTAGATTTATGATTTCGTGAGAGAATGTTAATGTCAGCTACTACGCAGTAGTCTGAGAAAAGTTAATATGAACCGTTAATATCAGCTAAAGCTCAAGGGTTCTAAGATTTCAGTCTGGACTTGTTAGGAATCTAATATTATGACAGTGGTTAGGAACTTGTAATATCAGGGGTGTACAACAAAGTATATTAATTTTTGTAGTGATTTTAAAACCAAATAAATAATTCTTGTTTTATTATCAAATATTAACACATTTATATGTTATTATGTTATCAATTATTATCGAATTTCACTAATATCGATTATAGAATTTGTATATTTGAAAAAAAAAATTGTAGGGTTTGTTAATGATTTGATTTTTATAACATTCGCAATTCAGGCTAAAATCTCGCATGTTTTCTGACCCTCGAACGAGCGGTTATTCACGGTCGTCGTGTTTAGGAACTTACGCTGTATAGTGGCCTAAATGTTTCAACAAACATTTACGCTAGATATCAATGTCAATATCATAATACCTTATAGCATTTTGTTAGTCTCGACAAGGAGAATAAAATAATGATTATGCATAAACAAAATAATAATATTATAGTTAATTTTGACGCGTGTTTTTAAAAAAGGGCGTGGCTTAGTGATCGTGGAAAGATTTACTAATAATTATCGTACAAAATTTATTAATAATCATAAATAAATGAATTGTTATAAAATTATAATAGTATTATTATAAAGTTATAATGAATTATTATGAAATTTTACTATTGTCGAATATAAATTTTGTATATTTAGGTATTATTTACATATTTCCTTAAAATTTAAGAAAAATTAGATAATCTCGAAAAAATTATATGAACACACATAACGATTTATATATCATTTTATTCGTGATTTTATTCTGCATCTTTCGTACGAACAAAGTTTTTTCGTATCTTTTACTGTTTAGCTAGTAGAGAGCAATCTGTGTGATTGATCACTTATTGAAATGCAAATTACATTTAGATTGCAGCAATTATTGACAATATTTCTATATTTTCATAAAGAAACCATATAAATTATAATACATTGTTAAAATTTCGTATGGTTCTCCAGTCATTCAATTCTAATAACAATCACCATTTAGGCTAAAATCTTGCATGTTTTCTGACCCTCGAACAAACGGTTATTCACGGTCAGCGTGTTTAGATATAGCAGCAGAGCCGCATATTCAGTTCAGCAAGCATTCAAGAATAAAAGAATAAAATAATATTTATTAAATATCAACTAATATATAATCTTTTCTCGGCAATGAATATAAGATATTATTATTTTATTCTATACAATTGAATTAAAAAAAAAAAAAAACATAAATATTATATTTTATTATTAATGACTAAATTATTTATACATTCGATTTATTTTAATAAAATATAATATGATAGAAATATTATGATTTTACAGAATAAACAGTTTGTGAATTTTTTGACTCAAGTTATTTCAAGAAACAACAGTACAATTGTTTACTGTTTTGTATTTTATCGTTCTTTTGAAAACTACGAATGAAATAATTAATTATAACGATAATATTATTTTATTAGATACTATGCAAAAAGAGAATAGAGCACACTTCTTGAACTTGAATGCACGACGCGACATAATGTTTTACACAAATGATTTCTAACCGAATTTTATGCGTTGGTGTATTGATAGTGTATTACATCGTAAATATAATTAATTATTTCATACAAATAATATTTTATTTTAATAAAATATTATATTCGTTATTTAATCAAATCGTTTATATTAGCTATTGTTCAGTATAGATTCATAGAGTACTCAAATGAATGTTCAATGACAGTTTATGAACAATTATGATACTATTTATGAATAAAAATTTACAAAAACTGTTTCTAGGATATATAAGTATAATTACATCGCATCAAAATATAACATATCTCAATGCTCATAAAAATGCGATAACGATTTTGTTGAAAACGCACTATTGAGTGCAGAAGTTATTTGAATATAATTAGCGATATTTTAGAAAAACTAACCGTTGAAATAAATCATGCTTTTGATGATATGTTGGGGATGAATTTGGCTATCATGTAAATCCATTGTTTTATGCGAATTATTTAGAATAAAAGCGCTGGATTTAATTTTTTACAAATAATTTACATTTTTGTAAAATTTTCAAATATTATTGTTTTCTCCTCGGTCCTACACTTTTCGAATATAGTTTTTGGCCACGCCCCTAACATATTTAACCAATCACGTGTTAGATTTACATTTTAACCTACGATTTTTTACTATAATGTCAGATAACGCTTTATCTACGTCGCCGGCGGCAACCGCTGCGCCAGCGACAGCATCGCCGAAAAAGGGCAAGACTGCGGCTGTTAAAAAACCGCGAGTGAAGCCGTCCCATCCTCCTACATCTGAAATGGTAAACAACGCTATTAAAAGTCTGAAAGAACGCGGCGGATCGTCGCTGCAGGCGATTAAGAAATATATGTCGGCCAATTATAAAATCGACGCCGAGAAAATGTCAACGTTCATTAAAAAGTATTTAAAGTCAGCTGTTCAAGCGGGCACACTGATTCAAACAAAAGGCAAAGGTGCTTCGGGTTCGTTCAAACTTGCCGCGAACGCTAAACAGAGCGGCGGCGAAAGCGGTGTTTCGGCTGGAAAAGCCAGGACCGCTAAGACGCCAGCGGCAAAAGCAAAATCGAAGACAGCAAAGTCGAAGGGCGCCGCCAAACCTGCTTCGTCCCCTAAAAAGAAGTCTGCATCCGCAGCGGGCACATTAAAAAAGTCGTCGGCGAAACCTAAGACGACAGTCGATAAGAAGAAGACCATTCAGGGTAAGTCGACGAAAGCCTCATCGGCCAAGGCAACGAGCAAAACGAAGAAAACCGTCAAGACCGCAGCCGCAAAGAAACCTAAATCGCCAAAGAAGACATCAAAAGTAGCCAAACCTTTGAAAAAAGCGTCACCGAAAAAGAAGTGAAAACATTTCATTATCTTTTTACACAACAGCAAACGAAAATGTTTGCACAAAGTCCTTTTCAGGACTAACAATAAATTTTTATCAAAGAACATTATTATTTTACTTATATATATCTTATCATCTTATATTATAGCCTTTTCGTGGACTTCGGAAAAAATTTTAATAAAATATTTGTAACAGGAGCGCAGCAACGCTCGCTGTGTTCCTCGCCGCCGTGTTGTGTCATTGACGAAATTTAAAAGTCAAAGTCTTTTCAATTTTCAATTTCGTCTTTGGTAGGGAGTTGTTCAATATCAATCGCTGAATTTTATTTATTTATTTATTATTTTTTTTTAAATAATTTTATATGAATAAATTATCTTAATCAAATGAAATATAATCAATAATTTATTAATAAAAGTTTTATATATCACTTTAAATAAATCAACTATACATAGAACGGCAACTCTCATAATAATTAAATTCATAATTTTTTCTAATTTTTTTTTATATAAATAATAAGTAAATGGAAATTAATTAATGAAATAAAATATAATCATTAATAATTTATGAAGTTTCAATCTTTTTTTCATATCGTATTCGAAAAAGAAAATTTATATAACTTTAAATAACTATATATGAAATTAAAAAATATACAATAAAAAAAAAAATATTTATATATATAAATATATATAATATAATATATATAATATAAATTTCTATCATCAGAACGGCAACTCGCCCATATTAATTAAATTTAGAATTTTTTAAAGAAGCTTTCAGAAATTCATGACGAATTTTACAAATTCAACTATAATATTTTTTAAACTTAACACAACAACACACTATTCAACAAGTCAAATCATGTGTGTTGTCAATAATTTCAATTAAAAAAAAAATCAATAAAAATTTCTAACGTATCGATGGAATAATTCTGCAAAATAAAATAATTTGAAAAATAATAAAAGTTCTTTTAATTGATCATTTTGGTGGTCCTGAAAAGGACCGATTTGTTTTATAGGACGACAGGCGTCTAAGCGCGTTCTCCTCGAATACGCCGAGCTAGTTGAATATCCTTGGGCATGATGGTTACGCGCTTGGCGTGGATCGCGCACAAGTTTGTATCTTCGAACAGGCCAACCAAATAGGCCTCGCTAGCTTCCTGCAATGCCATGACGGCGGAGCTCTGAAAACGCAGATCGGTCTTGAAGTCCTGAGCGATCTCGCGCACTAGACGTTGGAACGGCAACTTTCGTATGAGAAGCTCGGTGCTCTTCTGGTAACGACGGATCTCACGCAGAGCTACGGTGCCAGGCCGATAACGATGCGGCTTCTTCACACCGCCGGTCGCCGGCGCGCTCTTGCGAGCCGCTTTCGTTGCAAGCTGCTTACGGGGCGCCTTGCCACCGGTGGACTTGCGAGCTGTCTGCTTCGTACGGGCCATTATAACTCCTAGATTTCGTTTCGAGAACCTTCTCGTTTGACGATCGTTTTGATACTGACGCGTCCGGCTCGAATATTATGATCAAAATACATTACGAATGTCCGATGCTGTGCTCGGCTGTCATTGGTCGGCGCCGAATGCTCGCATAGCTATGATGGGCGTGGCCTAGCGAGCTCAAACTTTTCAATAATTTCGCTCGTCGGAATTCAGTCGTTATTCAGACTTCGAGCTGTTAACATCAATTTGTAAATTTATCCCGACTGCGATATATTGAAAAATGACCGGCCGTGGCAAAGGTGGTAAGGGACTCGGAAAGGGTGGCGCTAAGCGACACAGGAAAGTTCTTCGCGATAATATCCAAGGTATTACAAAGCCGGCTATACGTCGTCTTGCTCGCCGTGGCGGCGTCAAGCGTATCTCGGGTCTAATCTACGAAGAGACCCGCGGTGTTCTGAAAGTGTTTCTCGAGAACGTTATCCGCGATGCAGTCACATACACCGAGCACGCCAAGAGGAAGACCGTAACCGCTATGGATGTCGTATATGCGCTCAAACGTCAGGGTCGTACACTGTACGGTTTCGGCGGTTAAATTGATCAACGGACGCAGTCATTTCTTATAAATACAAAACAAAAAAGAGCCCTTTTAAGGGCTGTCAAATATAATTAAAAGAACAAGTAATATATTTTACAATTTACGTACAGGCTTTATTTGATTTTATATGAAATTTGTTTATTTTCTTGCAGAATAACTTGCTTTGGTAATATTATTGATAATATTATCAAATTGGAAAGCCCTTCGAATATGTTTTAAAGAAAGTATTAATTAATATATATTTTACTATTTTTTCGTATTGACTTTTTATATGCAATTGATTTCTTTTCTTACATGGGGGGGGCTTCAATTAATAGAAAATAGAGTATACTTTTAGTATTAGTATACTTTACAGTTAAGGGCTTCGAAAAGGGCTCTGAATTGAAGGAGCTCAATTAAATGAATGAATTTATTAAATTTTGCATATTATTTAAATTTATATAATATGTAATAATATATTTTATATATTTAAATAATAAAATTTTTAAAATATTTACGACAATAATTTTATTTTTACGAAAATATTTAAATTGCGATTTTTTTTAATATAAATATATTTTATAATAAATTAAAATAAACTTAAACTTATTAACTAAATTTGAAAAACTAAAGTTTTAAATTGAATTGAATATTCAATCATTAATTTTTATCATATTGAAAATATATAGAAATTGAACATTATTTATAATATAAATTAATAATAACGATCTCTAATAGAAATCTGATCAAAATTTATTGAAAATCCTAATAAAATATCATTAGTGTCAGGTTATTTTATTTTATCTATAAAACCAATGTAAAAATTATAAAGTTCTTTTGTAAAATATTTGTGGGCCCTGAGAAGGGCCTTTGTTATTGTCGACAGAACATATAAGTGGCATCACAAAATCTTCATCATTTTATTTCGAGCTGGTGTACTTGGTTACGGCCTTAGTACCTTCGCTGACGGCGTGTTTGGCCAACTCGCCTGGTAGCAATAGCCGGACTGCTGTCTGAATTTCCCGACTAGTGATTGTAGAGCGTTTGTTGTAGTGAGCCAAACGCGATGCCTCGGCCGCTATACGCTCGAAGATATCATTCACAAAGCTGTTCATGATGCTCATCGCCTTGCTCGAAATGCCCGTGTCAGGATGGACTTGTTTCAAGACTTTGTAAATATAAATGGCATAGCTCTCCTTGCGCTTACGTTTTTCTTCTTCTTGTCGCCCTTTGAAATATTTTTCTGGGCTTTGCCTGCTTTCTTAGCCGCTTTACCGCTGGTTTTCGGTGGCATGTCTGATGTTTACTAGTACACTGACTGATACGAAATGAGTCGTGCCGACGCTCCGTTTTCGTACTGCTTCAACGTTTTGACTGAAGCCGTAACAACGTACGTAGGCAGGGAGGGAGGGGCGTGTCTACAAAAAAATGGGCGTGTGCTTGCAACGCTCAGAAATCTATACGGGCCCGTTCGAGAACTTTGATATCATTCTCAGTTTGAAACACGAACCTGTAAACATGTCTGGTCGAGGCAAAGGCGGTAAAGTCAAGGGAAAGGCTAAGTCACGGTCTAACCGTGCCGGTCTTCAGTTTCCAGTCGGTCGTATTCATCGTTTGCTACGCAAAGGCAACTATGCCGAGCGTGTCGGCGCTGGTGCACCCGTCTACCTCGCTGCAGTCATGGAATATCTGGCCGCCGAAGTTCTCGAGTTAGCCGGCAATGCGGCTCGCGACAACAAGAAGACCAGAATAATTCCGCGTCATTTGCAACTGGCCATCCGCAATGACGAGGAACTCAACAAACTGTTATCGGGTGTTACGATTGCTCAGGGCGGTGTATTGCCGAACATACAAGCTGTGCTTTTGCCAAAGAAGACAGAAAAGAAAGCTTAAATTTCTTTTATTGTCGCAAATTGACATAAAACCGTCCTTCTCAGGACGAACAACTTTATTCAAAAAATGAACATATATTATTTTACTATTTATTTATTATTTTACTATTTTATTTATAATACTATTTAATTTACTATTCAATACTCATTTTAATTTATTTTAATTTTTTTATCATAACATTCGGTATATAATTCAATTGATTTTAGATATTTTTATTTAAATAAATATAAATAACAACATTTGTTTGAATGAATCAAAGAATATTTAAGGTTATAAATGTACGAAATAATAACTTTATTTATTAGTTACGTTGTTATAAATCATTTAAAATGAATATAAAAAAAATCTATATAAGTATATTAATTTTTGTAGTGATTTCAACATCAAATAAATAATTCTTGTTTTATTATCGAATATTAGCACATTTATATGTTATTATGTTATCAATTATTATTGAATTTCACTAATATCGATTATAGAATTTGTATATTTAAAAAAAAAAATTGTAGGGTTTGTTAATGATTTGATTTTTATAACATTCGCAATTCAGGCTAAAATCTCGCATGTTTTCTGACCCTCGAGCAAACGGTTATTCACGGTCGTCGTGTTTAGGAACTGCCGCTGTATAGTGGCCTAAATGTTTCAGCAAGCATTTACGCTAGATATCAATGTCAATACCATAATACCTTATAGCAATTTGTTAGTCTCGACGAGAAGAATAAAATAATAATTATTCATAAAGAAAATAATAATGTTATAGTGAATTTTGACGCGTGTTTTTAAAAAGGGGCGTGGCTTAGTGATCGTGGAAAGTTTTACTAATAATTATCGTACAAAATTTATTAATAATCATAAATAAATGAATTGTTATAAAATTATAATAGTATTATTATAAAGTTATAATGAATTATTATGAAATTTTACTATTGTCGAATATAAATTTTGTATATTTAGGTATTATTTACATATTTCCTTAAAATTTAAGAAAAATTAGATAATCTCGAAAAAATTATATGAACACACATAACGATTTATATATCATTTTATTCGTGATTTTATTCTGCATCTTTCGTACGAACAAAGTTTTTTCGTATCTTTTACTGTTTAGCTAGTAGAGAGCAATCTGTGTGATTGATCACTTATTGAAATGCAAATTACATTTAGATTGCAGCAATTATTGACAATATTTCTATATTTTCATAAAGAAACCATATAAATTATAATACATTGTTAAAATTTCGTATGGTTCTCCAGTCATTCAATTCTAATAACAATCACCATTTAGGCTAAAATCTTGCATGTTTTCTGACCCTCGAACAAACGGTTATTCACGGTCAGCGTGTTTAGATATAGCAGCAGAGCCGCATATTCAGTTCAGCAGCAGCATTCAAGAATAAAAGAATAAAATAATATTTATTAAATATCAACTAATATATAATCTTTTCTCGGCAATGAATATAAGATATTATTATTTTATTCTATACAATTGAATTAAAAAAAAAAAAAACATAAATATTATATTTTATTATTAATGACTAAATTATTTATACATTCGATTTATTTTAATAAAATATAATATGATAGAAATATTATGATTTTACAGAATAAACAGTTTGTGAATTTTTTGACTCAAGTTATTTCAAGAAACAACAGTACAATTGTTTACTGTTTTGTATTTTATCGTTCTTTTGAAAACTACGAATGAAATAATTAATTATAACGATAATATTATTTTATTAGATACTATGCAAAAAGAGAATAGAGCACACTTCTTGAACTTGAATGCACGACGCGACATAATGTTTTACACAAATGATTTCTAACCGAATTTATGCGTTGGTGTATTGATAGTGTATTACATCGTAAATATAATTAATTATTTCATACAAATAATATTTTATTTTAATAAAATATTATATTCGTTATTTAATCAAATCGTTTATATTAGCTATTGTTCAGTATAGATTCATAGAGTACTCAAATGAATGTTCAATGACAGTTTATGAACAATTATGATACTATTTATGAATAAAAATTTACAAAAACTGTTTCTAGGATATATAAGTATAATTACATCGCATCAAATATAACATATCTCAATGCTCATAAAAATGCGATAACGATTTTGTTGAAAACGCACTATTGAGTGCAGAAGTTATTTGAATATAATTAGCGATATTTTAGAAAAACTAACCGTTGAAATAAATCATGCTTTTGATGATATGTTGGGGATGAATTTGGCTATCATGTAAATCCATTGTTTTATGCGAATTATTTAGAATAAAAGCGCTGGATTTAATTTTTTACAAATAATTTACATTTTTGTAAAATTTTCAAATATTATTGTTTTCTCCTCGGTCCTACACTTTTCGAATATAGTTTTTGGCCACGCCCCTAACATATTTAACCAATCACGTGTTAGATTTACATTTTAACCTACGATTTTTTACTATAATGTCAGATAACGCTTTATCTACGTCGCCGGCGGCAACCGCTGCGCCAGCGACAGCATCGCCGAAAAAGGGCAAGACTGCGGCTGTTAAAAAACCGCGAGTGAAGCCGTCCCATCCTCCTACATCTGAAATGGTAAACAACGCTATTAAAAGTCTGAAAGAACGCGGCGGATCGTCGCTGCAGGCGATTAAGAAATATATGTCGGCCAATTATAAAATCGACGCCGAGAAAATGTCAACGTTCATTAAAAAGTATTTAAAGTCAGCTGTTCAAGCGGGCACACTGATTCAAACAAAAGGCAAAGGTGCTTCGGGTTCGTTCAAACTTGCCGCGAACGCTAAACAGAGCGGCGGCGAAAGCGGTGTTTCGGCTGGAAAAGCCAGGACCGCTAAGACGCCAGCGGCAAAAGCAAAATCGAAGACAGCAAAGTCGAAGGGCGCCGCCAAACCTGCTTCGTCCCCTAAAAAGAAGTCTGCATCCGCAGCGGGCACATTAAAAAAGTCGTCGGCGAAACCTAAGACGACAGTCGATAAGAAGAAGACCATTCAGGGTAAGTCGACGAAAGCCTCATCGGCCAAGGCAACGAGCAAAACGAAGAAAACCGTCAAGACCGCAGCCGCAAAGAAACCTAAATCGCCAAAGAAGACATCAAAAGTAGCCAAACCTTTGAAAAAAGCGTCACCGAAAAAGAAGTGAAAACATTTCATTATCTTTTTACACAACAGCAAACGAAAATGTTTGCACAAAGTCCTTTTCAGGACTAACAATAAATTTTTATCAAAGAACATTATTATTTTACTTATATATATCTTATCATCTTATATTATAGCCTTTTCGTGGACTTCGGAAAAAATTTTAATAAAATATTTGTAACAGGAGCGCAGCAACGCTCGCTGTGTTCCTCGCCGCCGTGTTGTGTCATTGACGAAATTTAAAAGTCAAAGTCTTTTCAATTTTCAATTTCGTCTTTGGTAGGGAGTTGTTCAATATCAATCGCTGAATTTTATATTTATTTATTATTTTTTTTTAAATAATTTTATATGAATAAATTATCTTAATCAAATGAAATATAATCAATAATTTATTAATAAAAGTTTTATATATCACTTTAAATAAATCAACTATACATAGAACGGCAACTCTCATAATAATTAAATTCATAATTTTTTCTAATTTTTTTTTTATAAAATAATAAGTAAATGGAAATTAATTAATGAAATAAATATACATTAATAATTTATGAAGTTTCAATCTTTTTTTCATATCGTATTCGAAAAAGAAATTTATATAACTTTAAATAACTATATATGAAATTAAAAAATATACAATAAAAAAAAAATATTTATATATATAAATATATATAATATAATATATATAATATAAATTTCTATCATCAGAACGGCAACTCGCCCATATTAATTAAATTTAGAATTTTTTAAAGAAGCTTTCAGAAATTCATGACGAATTTTACAAATTCAACTATAATATTTTTTAAACTTAACACAACAACACACTATTCAACAAGTCAAATCATGTGTGTTGTCAATAATTTCAATTAAAAAAAAAATCAATAAAAATTTCTAACGTATCGATGGAATAATTCTGCAAAATAAAATAATTTGAAAATAATAAAAGTTCTTTTAATTGATCATTTTGGTGGTCCTGAAAAGGACCGATTTGTTTTATAGGACGACAGGCGTCTAAGCGCGTTCTCCTCGAATACGCCGAGCTAGTTGAATATCCTTGGGCATGATGGTTACGCGCTTGGCGTGGATCGCGCACAAGTTTGTATCTTCGAACAGGCCAACCAAATAGGCCTCGCTAGCTTCCTGCAATGCCATGACGGCGGAGCTCTGAAAACGCAGATCGGTCTTGAAGTCCTGAGCGATCTCGCGCACTAGACGTTGGAACGGCAACTTTCGTATGAGAAGCTCGGTGCTCTTCTGGTAACGACGGATCTCACGCAGAGCTACGGTGCCAGGCCGATAACGATGCGGCTTCTTCACACCGCCGGTCGCCGGCGCGCTCTTGCGAGCCGCTTTCGTTGCAAGCTGCTTACGGGGCGCCTTGCCACCGGTGGACTTGCGAGCTGTCTGCTTCGTACGGGCCATTATAACTCCTAGATTTCGTTTCGAGAACCTTCTCGTTTTGACGATCGTTTGATACTGACGCGTCCGG